TATTTATCAATAGAAACAATTTTGAAATTTGCCCATGCAATTGTTGAATTTTGACGACAACAACGTTAACAAACAAACAAACAAACAAATATTATATCGTATGACTTACCTTTTATACATGACAATAACAAAATATTTATTTATAATTATTTGTTTTAAATTTTTGCTGTTGTTGTTGAATGAATGAATGAATTAATTAATTAATTAATTAATAATAAATTTTTATTATTAATTATTGTCATGTTTAGTAAATCGATAATAAAACGCACAAAAAAAAAATAAAAAAAATATTTGGCACCTTTTCGTTTTAATTTTCAACCTTTTCACGAATTTTAAAAAAAAAACAAAATTAATTTTGAAATGGCCAATAATTGACCCCTTTCCTACCCCCTCTCCCCCTCCTGATGCCCCTCCTACCCCCTCTCGAAACGAAAAGGTGAAAAAGGTTTTAAATTAATAATTTTATTATCAATTAAAAAAAAAAAAAGGGAGGGTTGCAAAATTTAAATTTTTACAATTCATTTATTAATATCGAATTCATTCATTCATTCATTCATTTGAATTTTTTGTATCTTTTAATTATTATTATTATTATTTATTTTGGATTTTAAAAAAAGTTTTTTTTTTTTTTGCAAAATCTTTAATTTTTTTTCCATTTTTTGTTGTTTTCGTTTTTGTTGTTTTTGTTGCTGTTGTTGTTGTTGTTGCTGTTGTTGTTGTTGTTGTTGTTGTTGCTGTTGCTGTTGCTGTTGTTGTTGTTGTGTGGATTACATAAGTTTTGTTTCGAAAAAAAAGAAAAAAACACGAACCTTTTCAATTTTCCAATAATAAAAGGAAAAAAAAAAATTATTAACCCACGCAAAAGTAGAAATTTTTTTTTTTTTTTTTTTTTTTAAATAATTTAAATGAAAAGAAAAATGAAAATGGAAGAAGAGGAGAAGGGGAAGGAAGGGAGAAAAGTATGCGTGTGCGTGTTGTATGGAAAAAAAGGCTTTGATAAAATATAGAAAAAAAAAATATATAAATAGAAAAAAAAATGAAAAAAAATTTATTCGTCGGTATAAAAAAAAAAAAAAAAAAATTCAACTGGAAAGGATGTTCAAACCAATCTGGATATTTTTTTTTTTTTTTTTATTCATTTTTTGATTTTCTTTTTTTTTTATGCAGTAAATTTTTTACTAGTTTTTTTTTTTTTCTCAATTACTTTGTAGCAAAAGTATAAAAAAAAAAAATTTTGTTTTTTTACAACGCCGCCATGTTTTTTTTTATTTTTTATTTTTGTTTTAAATATTAATTTGTTAAGATTCGTAAAAAAAAAAATGATTATTTTTATAATTTTTAGATGTCTATCAGTTGCGAACATTTAGTTTTAGTTTTACTAACGGCACTAACACTAACAGATAAAAAAGAATATCAAGGGATTAATGGTTATCGTTTGGATACGAGCGGATCAGCAAGAGAAAGATTGGACTTAGCTAAAAGAATATTAGCCGAAGTACCACTCATTGACGGGTTTGTTTTGTTTTGTTTTGTTTATTTTCTCTATGAAAATTACAAAACTTTTATTACGCACGTTTTATATATGATAATAATAATAAAAACAAACAAAAAGAAAAAAACGTTAGTTAATAAAAAAACGACGGACGAACAAAATAAAATAAAAATTCGATTCGATAATAAATATAAAAAAAAAAAAAAAAAAAAAGTAATTACAAAACTGTTATTAAATGATCATAGAGATTTAATATGAAATCGGTTGAACGACAGCAAAATCAGAGAGAGTGAGTGAGAAAAACCGCAACATTCTGACCGTGTTTAATTTAAGCCGTTTAAAATTAAAAAAAAAAAAAAAGGAGGGAAATTTTTTTTTGCTAAAATTAAATTTTAATTCTCGACGCGTTTGAATTTTTATTTAATTTCGTTTCGTTTCGTTGACTTTTTGTTTCGATATATATGTAATTTTTTTTTCATCGCGTCGAAAATGAAAAAAAATTAATTCGATTTAAAAAATGCATGGGAGGGAAGGGGGAGCAGGGAGGAGAAGGAGGGAGAAAAAATAACGATTATAAACGTTTTTCTTTTTTTTTTTTTGTTAACAGTCACAATGATTTACCGTGGAATATAAGAAAATTTGTACACAATCGCCTTAGAGATTTTAATTTAAATACGGATTTAAGAAATTTATTACCATGGTCAAAAAGTCCCTGGTCTCAAACTGATCTTCCCAGATTAAAACAAGGAATGATTGGGGGACAATTTTGGGCAGCTTATGTTCCATGCGAATCACAACATTTGAATGCCGTTCAATTGACGCTGGAACAAATAGACGTTATAAAAAGGCTCATCGATAAATATCATCGCCATTTAAAATTTGCTACCTCTGCCACAGGTGAGTAGACCTTTTTTTACTTAATATTTATTCATTTTTAACAAAATTTTTTTTGTTTTAGAAATTCTGGAAGCACATCAGGACAACAGAATTGCTAGCTTGATTGGAGTGGAGGGTGGACATTCAATTGGTAACAGTTTGGCCATTTTGAGAATATTTTATGATTTGGGTGTCAGATACCTAACTTTGACACATACATGTAACACACCATGGGCAGATTCATCATCTGTTGAACATAGGTTAAAGTTTCCACAAAATGGCGGTCTTACTAATTTTGGAAAGGTAATATCACTTGTTATATTTTTAATTAAATTTTACGGATATGTATATTGGGTATATGTAATTTTTAGGCAGTCGTTAAAGAAATGAATAGATTGGGAATGATGGTTGATTTATCACACACGTCGGTTAGCACAATGAAAGATGTTTTGGAAACAACAGAAGCACCCATTATTTTTTCACATTCTTCAGCTCATGCACTATGTAACACTTCAAGAAACGTACCGGATGATATATTAAAATTGGTGGTAAATATGTATATTGAGTAAATTTATAGAAATGTTAAAAAGATTATTTGTAAAAGACAAGTTTTGATTTATTATCATAATTAATTATATCTCATAGGCAAAAAATGGAGGTATAGTCATGGTGACTTTTTATAATCAATTTGTTAAATGTGGAACTAAAGCAACAGTTGCAGATGTGGCAGGTGATTTATTACTTAATTTAATTTAATTTTTTTTACATCAGGTAATTTTCTTTAATTATTTTTATATAATAAATCTTAAATGATTTTTTAATTAATTACATTTCAGAACACATTAGCTATATAAGAAATTGGATAGGAGTTGATCACGTGGGTGTCGGTGGAGATTTTGATGGTATAAATAGGTAGATAAATGTTTTTTTTAAAAAAAATTTCTTTTTTTGTTTTTCGTACTTTTTTCCTTTTAATTGTTGTACGAATATTTTAAAGAACTCCAAGAGGACTCGAAGATGTTTCCATGTATCCAGAATTATTTGCAGAACTTTTAAGGAGTGGAGTTTGGAGCGAAGAAGATTTACGAAAAGTTGCAGGACTCAATTTACTCAGAGTGTTCAGTAAAGTTGAAAAAGTAATATGATTTTAATAATAATTTCCCCCCCCCCCCGTGAAAAATTTACAAAAAAAAAAAAAAATTTTTTAATTTCAAGGTCAGGGACGAAATGAAAATGGCAGGAGCTTTGCCGTCAGAAGAACTTATTTTTGATCCATCATCTGGTAAAATGTTTCCATGTTCGACAAATTTCGATGATACAGATAAAGATAGAGAACAATGCTAAAAAAAAAAAAATTTTTTTGCCTTTATTTAATGTTTTTTTCTTCATCTTAAATAAAAATATTAATTAATAATTAAATTTAGACGGATAAAAATCATAAATAATTTTGTATGTTGTCATTTAGAAGGTCGAGTTTAACATAAAAAAAATAAAAGATGAAATAAAAAAAAAATTATAATTTTAAGTAACTTTTTGTAACTTTTCAATAAAAAAAAAAAAAAAATTTTTTTTACAATACAAGTTAATTAAATCATTTTAAATCTCCCTCCATTTTTTTTTT